CTCAAATTAACCCCACGAGAGCAGCTCACGCTGTCTGCTGCAGGTGACTCTAGACGATCCCCAGACGTATCAAACAATGAGAAGACAATGATTGATGACTAACCATACAACCGAAGCAAAGCCATAAACAGACACGAAAGTACTAAAGAGCCACAACAGCAGTGATACAACATTTGGGTCCTCACACTGGAAACAATGACGTGCTTCCATAAATCCAATCTAGTTTTTATGGAAAACAAACCTGCATTCATAATAAACACTACTATTAATTAATATTTTTTATGCAAGAATTAAATGGCAGTATAAAAAATTCAATGGTTAATGCCGAAAAAAAAGCAAGGATTAGTTATGATATCAAATCAAAATTAAATATCAAGCAAGGTATTTACATAAAATTAAGGCAGTGGAGGATCTAAGAATTTCTTATATGACAATATCTACAACTAAACAAAGAAAATTTATATATTTTTAAAACAGAATCATTATTTGTTTTTTTGGTAAGATTAAAACCGAATCATTATCATATTAGTAAAATTATCATTTATTTATTATTATCCACGTTAATTTAAAAGTTTAAGAGAATATCTGATTTTTTCTCATAAAATGATGGAATAATAACATAACTCTTTTAGATTTATAACTATATTTCACATTATCTTATTAAATCTATTAAGATAAATATATTTCTTTTTGAAAAATATAAATAAAATGATAATATAATTATTATAGATTTACAATTATATTATTATCCATGTCAAAATTTTAAAACATTTTACTTTTTTCTCACATAGGAAGATAGAACAATAACGTAACAGTTTAAGATTTACAACATAAAAATAATATCAGAATTGGAACGCCAAATCATAATCAACACAATTAACACAACTCTAATGGGAAATTAGAGTTATCTTGTGATTAAAATACTAAACAAACAAAACTAACCGAAACAAAACAAAAGTCTTCCTTTCAAAATCATTAACGTGACGGATTGCTGACTGATTAAGTTGAAGTTTTAGGCATTTAAAGATCTAGAAAGATGATTAAGGTTAAACATTTTTAGTTATTTTAAACAACGTTTGAATGTTGACAAAAAAAGAAGAAGAGAGTGTTGGGACCATCGGGAGAGACAACGTTGAGCAGCTGCGAAAGAAGCCAACGTTGTCTATTATGTTCCTCACAGTGTTTGATTTGACTTTTGATGACATTACACTCCTGTCCACTTGTTGTCTCGAAAGTTCATGCAATGGAAAATTATTAAACAAAACAATTTACTTTTATGTATAAATCCTAGGGAAGAACCGATCAAGCTAAGATCAATGGTTGTGGTTTTAGTACCGTATACTTCTCAAATATACCCGTTGAATAACGGAAATCCGCAAGACGGGGAGGAGACGAAGTCAACCTAGCTGGCAAAGGAGCTAACCCAGCTCCTTTGGTCTTATTTATGGTCATATGTATTTAGCAAAATATGGTATACAAACCGAACCAATCAACAACAAAACCTGGTTTTAAATTGTTGTATATTTCTCAAAAGTCAAAACCCATAATAACCAATGGAACAGAAGAAGCTAATGCAGAGCATACTTACGCTTGGAGTAAAGAGTGATGCAAGCTTCCATTGGCACACCCGAAAATGCATCAGAGCATGGAAAGAAACCTAAAAACCAATAAATTAAACAATAATTAAATCTTAGTGCATGGAAAACGAATCCTATACATACCAAAGTCCGAATCTCAGTACCTTAGAATGACCTCGATACCAAAAACTTTAAGTTACTACTTCCATATATGTAATATTTTAGTTTGGGGAGAGAGATTGGCAACGAAGAGTAATTCCTGAATTTAACAGCCAAGTTTATTATCCCGAATCTAAAGAGAGGAATACTTAAATTGTATTAACGACAAAAATTAGCCTTCTCTGAAGATTCATCCCTGAAATAAGTCATCTTTCTGACTTTGTGGCAACTGTATTATCAAAAGTTGAGTGTTTCTTCTGAAAAAGACATATTTGAAAATAATAAGAACATGTACCTCAACAAAATCGGGACGTACCTCATCTTTTTACAACAAAAAGAAACATACCAAACCATCGATGATTACCTTCTCAAAAGTTGAAACCAAACTTTTTGATTATAAAAATTGATTAGTGGTGAAAATAGTGAAAGCATAAATACAAAAAAAAAAAAAAAAATCAAATTTGTACATATAAACTATAAGATCACCTGTTTATTCATTGAATTAGGTCCAAATTTTCCATACACCAGTTCACATCGTCCCCTCCATACATCCACCCTACAATAAAAAGAAAAATTAAAATTAGGTAGAAGCAAAAAAAAGTTTGAAAAAAAAGAACAAAAAAAACAAGGGTTAGTTATGATCTGAAATTGAATACCATGAGCAAGGTATTTATATTGAATAGGAGGCTGTGCATGATTTAGGGTTTCTAAATTTTTTGACGATAAATACAAAAAAAGAAAAGAAAATTTACATATTTTAATAAGCAAATCACTATCATAATAATAAATATTTGTAAAACTGACATTTATTCATTGTTATCCATGTTTATTTAAAATAATATTTACTTTT